CTGCACACGCGTGTGCACGATGGGGCGCACACACCCCACCCCCCGGGCTTGCACACGCGAGCACACCTCATTGTGTGTGCACACGTGTATGCTCACTCTGAAGCAGGCCTGCACACACGCAGCATGGGCACGCGAGCGCACGTGCGCACACACCACAACATGCCTGTGCGCGCGCGCGCGCACACACACACGCGTAAAGATTTGCACGCATGCACACACAGGTCAACCAGCACATGCACACACATATGCACACACACATACACAGGCCGACCAGCACGTGCACACACAGGCCAACCAGCACGTGCACACACGCATGCACACACAGGCCGACCAGCACACGCACACACACACGCACACACAGGCCGACCAGCACATGCACACACAGGCCAACCAGCACGTGCACACACATGCACACACAGGCCGACCAGCACATGCACACATGCAGGCACACACACAGGCCGACCAGCACACGCACACACAGGCTGACCAGCACATGCGCACACGCGTGCACACAGGGCAGCAGGGTGAGGGAAAGGGGTGGGTGGTGCCGCCCCCTCCTGCCCTTTGAGGCTGCAGAGGAATGTTCCCCCCACACATGCTGCGCCCCCGCACCCACTCCCCATTAACCCCTGCCTGCCTGATTGCCCACCCCTTGAGACCAGGCCTGGCCCTGGCCCTGGGCGGGCAATGCCCCTTGCACCAGCCAGGAGGCTGCTCTCCCTTGCCCCAGGGAATACGCTGTGGGGGGGAGGTTAGGGAGAGGAGAGTTGGCAGCCCCCCCAGCCCCAGCGCTGCCAGCTGGGCTGGCAGTGAAAGGGTTAACTCTGCAGGCCAGCCCAGGGGATCGTGTGCGGTTGTCCGTAGGTTCCAGAGTGAACGCAGTGCCCGTTTCTCCCTCCAGCCAGCCGTGGGGCCCGGAGCCAAGCTTTCCCTCCCCTCCCCTCCCCTGTGTATCAGCCCAGCAGTCATGTCCCTTCCCAGCCGGGCCTGGATCCACGTGGGGCCCCGTCGTGTGGTCACACTTGCTCGTGCAAAGGTGCCTCGCGCTCCCTCCGTACAGGATTTGCATTGGGGCCCAGACTGGTGAGACGTTACCCCCTGACCTCTCAGGCCTTGTGAGACCCCGCTGGGCTGTGCCGAGACCTGCCTTGCTCAAGTGTGAGCACTCACACAAGGGGCTGTGCAACAGAGGACAGAGGTGGGGAAGACCCCAGCCCCGCGAGGCCCCCTCCACTCCACTGTGCTCACGTCCGGCTATTTATATGGCGGGGGCCGCAGCTCCGCGCAACGTAGCCGGGGCGCCAGGCAGGGGGCCAAGCCGCCCACACGCCGTCACGCCTTGAAGCGGCATCTCTGCCTGTTCCCAGGTCCCAGGGCTAGGGGAGCACACGCCAGCACCCGCCTCACACATGTGCATGGGCACATGTACATGTGGGCTCAACACCTGCCCCTGGGGTGCCCCCACGCCAACCTGTGCCCCCCAGCCCAGCTGGGACCCCTCACTCCCAACCCACATCCCCCTGCCCCCCCCACCAGCCCTCCAGATGCTCTGCAGCCCTGACCTGCAGCCCCCTGTTCCCCCAACCCTG